CCATGCCATTCACGTTTTACTCCTTTGGATGCAATCGGCTCTGCATCTAGCAATGTTGTGGCCAAATAAATGAGTAGAGTCATAAGATATCAAAGTACGTCTATAACGATTGTTGGTAGCATATTACAAAGAGTGATTTAACCTTTCAACTGTCCCGGTTCTTCTCAGTGTTTGCTGTAATGCGCATTTATAAATCATATATATAGGGTACATACCAAGCAAGAAGCTGCCATATACAGTCGACAGTTTGTATGGAGCCCAAATACAGCATTCTTTCTAACAAGTAGTATAATGTGACGCCCACCATATAGTCTGGCTGTTAGAAGGGGATTATGATATTGATTTTTTTGACCACACCTGAAGTAGACACGTAATTTAAGGAAGGTTTTATTCTACATATTACAAATATTTTACTTTGACAGATGCTTACATTTAGAACATTACACAAATTAAAATACTGCGCAGACAAAAAGAAAAAACTTTCAAGCGCAAGGATCCTGCTTTAATAAGTCCTTGCTAATTAATATCAACTTAAAGGTGCCGCCTTAAACATAGTTTTGTCCAAAATATAAGACGAAGAATAATTGCCCAAACTTATGAAAAATGATTAGAGAGCTGTGTGCACTCGTCCCAATACGCTCAAGGTAAAATATCAAATCGCAACTTCTGTCGGTAGATAAACGATTCATCATTAAACGCACCTTTTCTACCGTTATAACATTCAGCACACCCTTCACCTCACAAAAGTTGCGCGATGGCTCATTAGGAAGTAGTTCATGTGAAGTCGTGCAAAACGCATGGTCTGGACAGAATATAGTCTTCAAATAATAGATTAATGACGGATCACAGCATTTTTTAATGCAGATCGTGTATAAAGACTCCATATGTCCGCGATGGTGAACCATTTTTCCGCGATCAAAATGGAAAATTCCTCAATAATTCTGAGGCGCTATAACAAAATTCCGTGATTTCACCACCAAGACTAAAATAAACAAAAGTCAAAGCACCCTCATTCACTAAAAACTTTAAGCACAGACACAAAACGGAGGAAATAAAATACGGCTCATAAAGGTGTTTCGTGCTACTGTGTTAAAGATTGTGCCACCTGTCAAACAACAATGTTAAGACACTGAAACCCTGTTCTAAGTCTACCGAATTCACAGGATGCATAGGTAATGGCCGGCGATTTCTGTCAGTTATGGATTTCTTTTATTTGTAGAGCACCAGTAGACCAGCGTTTCTTAAAAAGTTTCTTATTGCTAAACTTCAATTGATTTTCGATAGATTAGCCAGTCGGCTGCTAGAGCTAGGTGCCAACCAGAGTTGGGTGGTAAATCTGCATGGAAGATTGTCAGTGTGCTGAGTTGGTTAGTTCGAACCCTCTGACGGCTTTCGAAAATGGCCAGCAGATCTGTGATGTCAGCAATTTCTGGATTACCGGGTCGGTAACGCATGGTTAAGTTACAGATGATGATTTTGCTGAAGGTAACAATGACCTCAGTCGCCACTACAGAGTTTTCTGTGTCGCTTCGTTGGTTAGAAGATTCACAAGTCTATAAACACTATCTGATCAACGAATTCATTTAGTACAGCAAGGTTAGGTAATGGTGTGCGGCAGCATCCAGCCTGGAATTCCAAATGGTGATGACTAGTGCAGGCAGGCCAATCGGGTTTTCCCGACTTCTTGATTTAGGCACTCAATTTGGACACACCTCTTTCTTCCCTAAAGGTGGAAAGGGCTCTTAAATTTTGCAACGAATCCGTCGACTTTTGGAAAGAATTTGCAAATGGTCTCTGTAATCAAATTGAAGCCGTGGGCAAAACATGTAATGTAAACTGAATCCTTACAAACAGGTTTAAGTACATCTCAATAGTACGCTGTCAAATATCTTGAACCTTCGTACACGAAATCCATTCGCGAATCATCTAAATGGAGGGCAATGTTTGCCAGCTATCTGTGTACAAAAGTGTGAACGGACAGGTGTCGGACAGATTTAACACATACGTAGGCAAAGACAGTTTGTATACTATACAATAGAGTCGGGCAAAGTTGAGTAGACTGGGGGAACTGGGTTTGATAATGGTTACTTGAGTGGATTACAATGCTGTCGGGATAAAAGCAAAGCCGTAGCTTTGTCTGGGAAGACAAGGGAAATTGATAAACAGATGGTAGGCAGATGGCGGTTAGGATACTGTAAAGGAAAGCTTCAATAACCACTTGGCTGCTTTGGCATTTCTTCAACATGCAGATATACTGATTATAGCAAAAAAACAAATTCAAAGCAGTTGCTTTTATGAAAGTTCCATATTTTCAGCGATTTTGCGAAACCTTTGCTTTCCACGACAGTCAATAAATACCGCGATTGATCTACGTTTCACAGAATCGAAGCAAAGTGAGCAGTTTAATCATGTGGGCATATTAACACAAAATAGGCAACGAGTGACAAAGCGCCAGCATCACATATTTAAACGTAGGAAACTATAAGTGACGGCTTGCAGACAGTTGAGTTAAATAATATCGTGTGAATGATTGTCCGAACCCACTCAAGTGATCATTTGCAGTCCGCCTACCCCATTTCATGGTCTATGTTGGATGCGTCAGCCTGGCTTTTACACTCCGCATTTCCATTACTCGTTGGCCATCCAAAACCCAAGCGGATCTGCTTTCTAGATTACAGCAATGCTTTAGATTGAATATACCGTAAACTGCTGTGACGGTCTGCGTTTTCCGGAATTCAGATTTCACTAACACTTCCTGCACACTAATTTGTCAATAGTACACATCTTACTAGGTTAAAGGTAGAAATCTTTCCCTAGTTCACCATAATTTATTTTTTCTTCAAGAAGCCACTTTGTCCCGAAATCTATCTTGCTGGTATATATGAGCATAATCCGCTCTCCAATTGAAGCAGTAACGCTAACCAATGCTGACGATGTGATCCTTGTTGTGTACAATATAACTAACAGATTCATCAGCTAAACTGTAATGGTTCCTATACAAACTTAAAGCCTGGTACATAAACCGCTATCTTTTCTCAATGCAACAAAGCATAAATATATCCTTTTCTAGCTTTCTACTGAAAATACTTCTTGGCAACTCCTAACATACACCCCGCAGCCTTGGGTCAGTCTGAACGCTTGTATATCTGAAAGTGCTATGAGTTACGCTACGACGGGATTTCAAGTGGACCCAACACTTAAACGAAACATTCCCTTAAACAAGGAGACTAACGTTTTACGTCTCCCGACTTAGGTATACACCCGTGCCACTTTCTTTGATAATACTGTTTGTCAACTCTTACGTACCATTGCAATGGACGTATCGATCACCCATGGTATTTCCGAGACATTTAATCGGACATCTCAAGATGAGCAACAGCTCACAAAAGCTACTTGTTCGTTTTGGTGGAATTTCAATATTAGTGTTTACTGACCTCTTTTTGTCCAATCTTGTTTGTTCCTGCGAAATACTTTCGTCAAAAATACTCAGTTATACCAGTCACTCAATCCATCGTGCACTGTCGTACTGTATCTCGCTTTCTGTCACATAAACGTACAAAGCCGCACACTGGTTTACAGTATATCAGGTCCTCCTTAATTATTACTTTGTTCGCTTGATAAATACAAGATCAAAAAAGATCTTATTGCCATACTGAACCGCTGATATTACCTGATACCTTTCCAAATTAATCACGCGCCAGAATCATTTTAATGCCTTGTTTTTCTTTAGCTGTTGTGATGTAGCGGAATATCCATACTTCATGGATGCATAAGTCTCATTTTTGACTTGCTTTGATCCGATAGCCAAATACGCGTTTATTGTTCTATGTGTAGCTTTTGATTCACGATTCTAACATTTCCAGTTAAACATTTGCAAACTGGCTTATGCTTCTAAGTTTAACTGCACTTAGAGTCAACCATTTGACAGTTGTAACTATGCTTATGGAATAGACACATTTCAACATACTGTATACTACGATTATCATTGCCACGTGATTCTTACAAATGTAGAACCGTATGGCATATGCTAGTTAAACCGGGACAGTTTGTTGAGGTGTAACGCCAATGGGTGGAACAATGTAATTGATTATTTCCCTCCGGTAGTATAACTTACGCAGTCTACACATTTGAATTCAGCTTGCTTGATTAACTTTCATGAGAGAATTTATTCGAATTCCATTCCAATCATCGTTGGTAGAACACACCAAGGTTTCAGTCCATTCCAGTAAATATTATCCTATTTGATAATAAATATCCGCGTATTGGTTAATAAGGACACGCCGTTTTTATGCAGATCAAGTGAGAAGTGACAAAGCATGTATTATTCTTTAGTTTGTCGGGACCATAAAAATGCACTACTATTTACGTAAGGGCATTGAACACATCACTGAACAGTCGCTTTGTTGCAAAAAATAACAAAAACGTTTTGGGATTTTAAGCCACTTATTTTAGTCTAAGCACTGATCTTACTCATCCACAAAGCCGACAGGCTACTTTTCTAATCAGTCAAACCTACGGATCACAAATTGTTTTACGCCTATTAATGCTTCGCCTAAACTGATCATTCACCAGCTAAATTTCCGTATACGAAAATCACATAAACGGTGATTGAAAAGGTTCAGATTTGACCATGATTGAAAATTAGAATATAAGTGCACGATTACCTTAATTTTAACGCCTTTTCAGCTTCGACCTATCGATTGTTAAAGTTAGATGAACCCAGTTTGCTTGCTGATGTTAGTCAACTTACATGAATTGCAATTCATTAAATGAATGTTACCAAACATTGAACAGATCCGTAATCATTACGCAAAACCAAGCCATCCTCATTGATGTGCGTTTGTCTGATGCAGGAGGCATTTGTAACAGGAACGGATTCCTCCATTACATAGGCAGACTGCAGATCCATTGGACCACAACAAAATACGCAAGCACAAAACAATGTAACTGCTAGAGTATTAACACGCGTTTCTATGTTTACTTATTATGTTCACATTTAGGAAGGTGGGAGCAGCTCCGTTGGTGTGATCGTTGTCGAAGGTGCGTGCCCTCAAGGTTATCGACGATGTCGTTCTGGACAGTGCTTGCCCGCAGGACGATTTTGCGACGGAATACCCGACTGTACGGACCGCTCAGACGAGGACCCACAGTTTTGCAGTAAGTATAAAAAATAAGAATTACCTACCATGGTCGAAAATTATAACTTAAACTTGGGAGTGCAAAGTAGCGGATGCCGCACATTTAAATATTAAGTTTACGACATATAACAATATCACTCGCTTAGCAAAGCCCGGTTGAAAATATTCTTCAAGCCCTAACAATGGGTCGAATTTTGCCTGCTTATGGAAGCATCATTGACTAGTAAAAATGTGTTTAGAATTGAATACACAAAATCCCAACACAATCATAGCTCTGTTGATGGTAATCGGTAGAAAACCCTACAGCTAATTTTAACTGTTACAAAAGGATGCTCGGGCACATGTATTCCGACAAGCTTGTGTTTTCAAGCTGATTACATCAATCTAGACTGGTTTGTGTGCTGGAAAAGTTAGTCCGTTTCATTTAGCAAAGAAAGTAAGCTTGTTTTAATGAATCATCTTAACAACAAATAGCAACAAATCTTTACTACTTCGGAGGTATTATTAATACATTTGGTCAAGTTGTTCCATTTACTGTAATTTTAGTCATGCAGCAGTGCATGATATAGAAAATGCGTACAGCAATGCATGCGTGCCTACAATACATTTGAATTCTTCGTTAATAGGGTTTTAAGCGTCTTCACTTGGAAGCACGTGGGAAGTCCAAATAGATTGTCGATGTCGATCGCAATATACGTAAATGCTTTAAGAATCCTGCACCTTTTGCTTAGCCCAAGTGTAAATAGAGATCATAGCAACAAGTAACACAGGTGTACAGATAGCTTCGGAATCTCTGGCAACCAAATTTTTACTGACGATTAAAATCGTTCGATTGCGGCTAAGCAAGCACATTAATGTACTGATGGCGGATTATAGGTAAAATATTTTTAAGCAGATCGTTGCATTTATATTTGTCTTTCATATAGTGGTAATTGCAGGCCTAGGTAACTGTGGATAGTGTTTCCAAACATATTTTAATCGACCGCATAGCTTTTATCTAAAAAGCAGGTTGCAAAACTATGAACACAAAAATTTCAGCAGGTATGTTGATACCGCCACATGATTCTAAGTAGCCAATAAAGGTGGTTACTTACATAAGCGTTTACCATGTATTATCAGCCAATCCAAAACAAAACGAATAAATACTTGACAGTAACGCGACCACAAGCTTTTTCTAGTATTTGTTGTAAGGAGCAAACCGACTGGCTAATGCAAGTAGCAGTCGCTAAACGATAAGGAATGAGCCCTTGTAGATAACCTGAAGAAATAGCACGCGAATTTAGAAACAACACAATTACACGCGTGGGCATCTATATATATCGATAAAAAAGTGTTGATTAAATGGTCCGAAAGAAATAGCAAGTTGAGAAATACAAACCAAATTAAACAAGAATTCAATGTGTGTTAAATTATTGGGTATGCCAGTGTATAGTTGATTGGTTTTAAAGAAGTAACTATAGAGCATGGCCTTTAATGTTGGCTCCTGAAAGACAATTGCTAAGCTTCCAATATGGATAATATTACTCGAATTATGACCAGGTGATTTTATAACTAAAAAGAGCTTGAAAATCCTTACGTCTGCGATATGGACAACTTCCCTGTTATCCCAAGTGATTACACTTTGTGTTAGCCACATTTGACCTTTGTAGTTATTTTCCAGTGGGTCAAGACAAGGCTGAGTGGGAACCGTTGAACTTGATACGCAATTAAATTGTCCTCTTTTAAAACCCTTAACATCCGCTCTACATTGCTAGGGTTTTTATTATATGTTTGTATTGGAGATTGAACGAGGCTTCATAATTCTCTGTCCCATGGTATGTGACAGTCTCGAGTGTTAAAGAATCGTACTTCTCTCATGAACGCCGTTCCTACGTGCATGCTTGTACACCACAGTTTATTTAGTTTTCAATCATTTTAAAAATAAGCAAAGGAATTATTACACTGTTGCACATTGTAATGCCGCGTTTAAGCACGCGTAAATTTTAAATCGTGCCATGCTCAATATTATCATGGAAAATAATTCTTTTCTCATTAACACTATTAAAGAGAATGGCTTTGCGCCGCCTAGATATTTAGCAGTATAGCTGCTTACCGAGTTACGCCTCTGCAATAGCATATTTTCTTTTCAACGCTTAGCACAATTGCTCTTTAACAGGTGCCTGTGATCCTATCGCAAAACCATGTGAATACGTACAAAACAGAGCACCAATAAAGAAGAATTACATGATCCATTGGGAGTGTGATGGCGAAGATGATTGCGGAAATGGTTTTGATGAATCAAACTGCCCCAGTGAGTTACCCAGTAAAAGGAAAGCGGTGTGACATAAGTTCTTTGGATATGATATATAATTTGTCACGTGGTTGCCTTGACAAGAGATTATGTACCACCTGTGAAGTTGCTTATTTGAAGTACATATCTGAATGCCACGATTCTGACCATGCGGCAGTAGTCTTATTTCTGGACTTGCAACAAACATTCCATCGGACACCTCACAAACCTTTGTTATCATTCTTAAAAATCTTCAGGATCCAGGATCTAATATAAGGTTGGCCATAGTCATATCTGGGTGGTTGGCACAAAGTGGTTATTTAAATGACTACAATTTTTCTCCACGCACTATTCATAGTGAGTTTATCTTTGAGAGCCTGTTTGGCTCTTTGCTGTTTTAATATAATTCAGTGACACACCACGTCGGGAAACATGGTCAGCCATCTTCTTCCACCGGAATAACACTATGGGTTATATGCTTCAGCGTGCCAAATTTTACGAAATATTTATTTTATTCACTAGGACTTATATTTCCTTCTGGCATCGTGCCCCACATAAAGGACGGAGCTCTTGACTAAGAAAACAAAAATCTTTCATTAGAGCTGCTCAATCCCTGAGGATTTCACTATACAGCTACCAACGCTTGATCTCGGATTGAGGTTATCATGCACATTTAGCTTCTCCAAAATGGCTTACTAACAAATAATGCGTACCAAAAATCTGTGTTTTATTTATTTATCAAAAACAACGCAATGCATTCTGGAACTGACATGTTTAAACTCTGATTCACCTCATCCTTAAGTGCTGTAACATATACGGCAACACGAGAAATAGAGACAAAATTGCTATGGGGCATCTGTAGAGGTTGTTTACTGGACATCTGATTCGTTAAGGCTATGCCACGATTTCTGGAGACTGCTGCAGCAAATGTAAGCCGGAAACCCGGTTTGCAACAACCGAGGAGTAACTTCCTGCTACTTTACAAGATATTACACTGGAGAACCTACTCCCATCTCGCTATATTTGAGCCGCAATATAACATAATTAAAGAGATTTACAATAAACGTTATTGTCTGATTATACCAAATCCGGAAAATGCATTCACTCAAATTACCACCCGTAAAACAAACATCTACTCCTACAAATTTTATGTGACAACATTTAGTAACAGGCCCAGAAGTTACATTTATTTGAACACGGTAGTGTATTTAATCACGATGGAAAGGACACTCGTTAACATATTTGTTATAACGCTTATTGTTCCCCTCTGGTCTTTGCCACTGACCACTGTTTCACCGCTGCTAGGTCTCCAGTGAGACTGCGACTGTCCGACTTCTCAATCACGCGTCCAGCCAACCGAAGGAAAACAGAAGGCCAGAACTAGTTAGACAGAGAGTATATCTACAGGATATGTTCTCTATTTATTGGTAACCGAAACATGTTAATTTAGGAGGTCAAGGTTGCTCACCGTTCCGCGTCTGGTTTTCAGCCAGTGTTAGAGAGTTCCACTTCACGGGTTTATCATATTGATGGAATAGTTTTATTCCATTTGACGCGGGCTGGTATTTGCTGGTCGATCAATTCTCACTCGAAATAAATTGGAACACCGGATGAGTTGCTTACCTGTTAATCGTTTCTCCGAGCATAATAAAGAGATTGTATATGTTTCACCCCCATGCGAGTTGTTATCTTCAGTGCGGTGATTTGCAGTGTATAATCCTGCTTACTGAATCGTCAGTCAGTCATTCACGGGCAGATAACTTTTGAAGGAAGCACTCGCACACCAAGTACTCAATAATGTTATCGATGGGATTCAGTTTACAATGGAGGTAGAGACAGAAAACATGCTCCCACTCTTGGATGTTTTGGTGACCAGAACAAAGGATGGTGAATTTCAGATATCCGTTCACAGGAAAGATACATATACGGACCAACTTTTGAACTCCAGCAGCAACCACCCAAAGTGCCACAAAATAAGTTGCGTGCGGACACTATTTCGCAGGTTTGAAACACCCTGTAGTACCGCGGATGGCAAACGGAAAGAAGCGAAACACATATTCCATTCGTTTGAGCTCAATGGATACCACGCAGCTTCATCCGTAGATGCCTAAACCACAAACCTACAAACACCGAGCCGATACAAAATTCAAGCAAGGGGTCGTTTTGCCGTAAATGAAGAACATATCTGTAATGACTGTCAGATTGCTCAAACAACACCGTATCGTGTGAGCTCAGAAGACAACCGCTACTTTGAGAAGAATACTGTCAAAGCCAAAGGATATTCGGAATACACAAAAACGAACAAAAGTCCTGTATAAAATGAATTGCAATAATTATGAAATGAACCATGTGAGACAGACAGGAAGGCAACTATCCACAATAATACAAGAATATCAGTGGGCATTATGCATCGGTTCTTGTCTCGGCGCATGTGGATGAGGAGGGAAATATCTACAATTGGAACAAAACAGAGCATTTGACTCAAACAACAACACAGAAAGGAAGAGAATTCCTAAAAACCAGTTACTGCTTTAATAATTTACTCAACATGCACATCGGCATCGACCCCATGAACCATCAACTCAGAAAGGAAGATCTCTGACGAATAAAAAGACATGTTTCAGCCGCGGAAGGAAGTGGGCGGAGGTCACGTGTCTCAAATCGAAAAAGCCACCTTCAAAATTCTCCGGCCCGTCGATCACGGACTGACGATTCAATAAGCAGGATATACACTGCATATCTCCGCAATGAGGATGCCACCTCGCGTGGTGGTGAAACGTATGCAATCTCTTTTTAGCTACCTCGGAGAAACGATCAAAAGGTAAACAATTCTCACTCGTTTCCCAAATTCCGTTTCGCTTGCGGCTCTATTACTTACCTTTTCGAATTGAGTCAGAATGCTGACCATTCGAACTTGGTTTTGTTGATAGCTTTTTGCTCAGTGATCGATTTGCAGGCGTTGTGGTTTTTGCCGCTTCCGAGCCTACCTGAATTGTGCATCTGATGTTTGCGGCATTTGTTTCGTCTCACCGGGTTGCTGACCCTCAACTTCCAGCCCAAACGTGTCTAGTAGAATGTCCCAATGCAAAGCTGGTGGTTCGTTGAATCTTGGGTTTTGCCATGGTTCGGTCTCAATTGATTGCTGCGTCTAATCCACCTTTCTGATCAAACCAACGCCTCGTAGATAACTCCGCCTTTCCTGACGATAACAGTTCCGCTCGACCACACCTTCGGCCTTCGAAAATCCAGGGCGTAAACCATGTCACCAACATTGAGGTTTCGGCGTCTGACTTTACGATATTCTTCTAGGTGACTTCCGCAGTAAAATATTATCGAACAGCATCCGCCTCTTTCTTCCAATTGGTACTTCTATGGGGTATTTCCCATCAGGGGCGTATTGGTTCGTAGCGCTCTGATACATGCATAGGAAAGCTTGAATTGCACCTGTGAAGCCTTTAGTTGCTCTGCTTTACAAAGTGCAGGTTTGAATGTATCCACGAACCTGTTCGCCCCTCCGTTTGATTGCGGATATGGTGGTGAGGACAGTGGCTGAATTCCCTTTTCCTTTCACCACACGCGGAAAGACATTTGGGGTAAATTGTGTTCCATTGTCTGTCACTAACATCTCCGGCAGGCCGAAATATCGGAACAGCTTCTCCAGCTCCTTGACAGTATGATATGCAGTTGGATCACATCAGGCCGCTTTGTGAAGGTGTCGACTAAAACGAGATAGTATTGGCCACTGACTAGTCCTCATAGTTAAGGTGTATTTGTTACCACGGTTTCTCTGCTTTAGGCCAAGGCTGCCGCTGACACTTGGGAGAGGCCTGCGTTGCAACTTGACAAGGTTCACACCGTTGGCAAAATATTTCGATTTCCGCATCCATTTCTGGCCATTAAACAAAACTGCGTGCCAACGCTTTCATGCGGCTGGTACCAGGGTGCCCCGTGTGGAACTGCTGCAATATTTGCCTGTGTAATTTATCTGGCATCAGCGCTCCATCTCCAAACATTAGACAATTGTCTACGACTAAATAGGATCAACGTCGATTGTATAACGGCCGCAACTCCATAGCTATGCCTCAATTTGACCAACATGTATAAACACACTGCATCGCTTTCTCCAAGATCGCTCCATACGAATGGTGTCGGCTGTTACTGGTAGTCTTCTCAAATTCTCAGCCAAGTTTCCTTGGACTTTGGATTCGAAACTTATAGCTAGAACCACAAAAGCATCCTACTCCTTTGGGTGTGAACTACTGAAACGAGACAGGGCATCAGCTTGACCGATTAGTTGCGTAGTTATATACCCTATAGTGAAATCGTACGTCAGTAGTATGGTCGTCCATCGTTGCAATCGGTTTTCCGTAAAAACTAGAAGTCCTTACTTTGACCTGAATATCGATAAAAGTGGCTTGTGGTCATTCAGGAGCGTGAAATGTCTGCCATACAGCATCTTATGGAACCGTTTCATTGCGAAAACAATCGCGAACGCATCTTCCTCTATCCGACTATAGTTCTTTTCAGCTGCCGTTAATGACCGTGCTGCGTGGGCGATAGCCTTCGCTCCCCAATGCGGAAAAACATAGGAGATAACTGCACCGACCCCTTAACTGGAATCTTCCGTATCAAGAACAATGTTGAAATTGGGATTGTAGTGAGTCAAGAGTAGATAAGAAGTGAGAGCTGCTTTGACTGCGTCAAAAGATTGCTGACAATCCTTCGTCCATTTCCAATCGTTGTCTTTTGTCAGTAGCTGGTTCAGCGGACCTCTGGTTTAGTGAAGGCTTGGTAGAAAAGCGCTATAATAGCTAATGAGTCCAAGGAACGAGCAGAGTTCTGCAATTTCCTCTGGGTGCTTCATCTTTTTGATAGTTTCAATATTGGCGGGATCCAGGCGCCGGCCATGTTTGTCGATGATAAACCCTAGAAATTTCACTCTTACTAATAGAAGCGTATATTTTTCAGCCTGTAATGGGAATTTCGATCCTTGGAGACGCGAAAGCACTCTCTCCAGTGTCTGTAACAAGTCATGCGTATCTGAGCCCATAATCAACGCATCGTCCATGTATACAGCTGTATTTGGTATATGGCTCAGCAGAGTATCTATTATTTTTGAAAAATGGCCGGTGCGGTTTTCTCTCCGAACGGCAGCCGGTTATGCTGAAAAAGTCCAAGGTGGGTATTTACTGGCAGTAACGTTCTGGGATATGCAGATACGCATCAGCTAGTTCAAGTTTTGCGAAACGTTGTCCCCATTGAATTTGCTGAACAAGTATTCTGATACCGGCAGGGGATATTGAAGATCTTCCAACACAGAATTCAAACCTGCTAAATATTCTGCACAAATAGGAACTTTGCCGTTTCCTTTCTTTACCAACACGATAAGCGCTGCCTACTCTGAATAGTGAACCCGTTCGATTAGCCCTTCAGATTGTAGTCGGTTACACTCTGCTTCCACTAAGGACTGGGTTGCGTGGGGCACCGGGCGTCTTGGTCTAAACACTGGTTTGGCATCTGGTTTAAGGCTCAATGCAGCAGTAGCTATGTTGCAGCATCCGAGACCAGGTTGGAACAATGCATCGTGACGTGGTTTTATCTCGGTAATCTGACTTTGAATCATCGGACTTGCGGTCGACCGTTGTGACAGCAGTTTGACTTGCAGTGACTGACATATACTGTTCACTGATTGATCGAGCTGTTTCAGTTCATCCATGCAGTCAAGCCCCAACAAATCTAGCCCCGGCTGGTCTGTCCCGAAAGCTGTCATTTTAATTTGTTTGTCGCGGAAGTTTACCTGACAATTCAGTTTACCATGCAATTTTAACGTACCTCCTGAACCATTCCGTATCATGTGGCCCGTTTGTATGATTGGCGGTTGCCCAAGCGTGCACCAAGTGTCGCGAGATATCAGGGTGATATCTGAGGTCGTGTCGATTTGTAACTTGACTTGGAATCCGTTGATTTTAAAAGTTGTGTATTTGCGCTTGTTGATCCCGTCAACCTTGGAAGTTGCGGTGATGGATCTGGTAAAATTGGTACGCCGGAACGATCTTGCATTGTTACGCAACTTCTTGGTCAAAATTGGAGGATCCGCCAGGCAACTTGACTCCTTATGCCCCCTTCTGCCGCAAGTGTTACTAGTGGGAGATTTGAATGGGCACTCGCGGGCAAAATGCCACTCTCTACAAAACCAACCTGCAGAGGGAGATTTAGAATGCGGTGAACGTACCTGGGGAGCCTTTTTTGGGGAGTACGGCTGACTGCACAGACAAACTCCTGATCGTTCTGCTTGGACAACTTCTGAATCATTGTGGAATCGTGCTACAAATTTCTCCTGCGTTGGCACTCACCGGTCACTTGCTTCAATGTGATATCCGGATTCTGCTCAATTCTGTTCAGTATCCTTGTTCCTATGTCGGCGGCATTAGATGCATGTAGGCTACAAACGTATATATGACATATAAACTAATCACTTGTCATCTCTGTAGTTGTGAACGATTCACACGGCTGTAATAGTCGAACCAGTCTTCGTCTTCTATTTCGGTTATTGTCAGACACTTATATCGGATGCTGAACAAGGATTTCCTCTCTTCGAAGATTTGTGACAAGACTGCGACCATTTCATAAAACGCCAAATCGGTACTCTTTTTATGGAAGATTAAACTGGTGAACGTCTGGTGTTCGGCAGTAATCAGCTCCCACAGCATTAGTCGAATCTTGCTGGAAGATTGGCGAAATCAACCTGGAGCATGTCTTACTACTTGTGGAACCAAGCATCAAATGTTATGCCGGCATAAGGGTCATAATAGAACTCAGTAATCTGCTGAGTCAGAGTTACTTTCGCTTGTCCCTAACCTTAAACTTGACCACACTTTCAGCTTCAGGGTTAACTTCTCGACCATCTTGGCTTGGTGTGCTTCAAACTGCGACAGTTGTTGATAAAACGTCTGCAATCCTTCAAAGCTGAATGCCATTTCTGGGTTCAGTTGAACTCGCGTAGCTACGATTATAACGATTCTTCTTTCCCTCTAATCTCTGCCACTGGCCACTGTTGTACTGCTGCTAGCTGTCCAATGAGACTCCGACTGTCAGACTGCTCAATCACACGCCCAGCCAACCGAAGGAATACAAAAGGCCAGAACTAGGTAGACAGAGAGTATATCTACAGGATAGGTTCTCTATTTATTGGTAACTGAAACGTGCTAATTTAGGAGGTCAAGGTTGCTCACCATTCCGCGTCTGGTTTTCAACCAGTGTTAGTGAGTTCCACTTCACGGGTTTATCATATTGATGGAATAGTTTTATTCCATTGAGGCGGACTGATATTTGCTGGCTGATCAATCCTCATAAGATTCCCAAATTCAGCTCCGCTTGCGTCTCTATTAATATTCTATGTTGTTCACAAAACAGCCAAATACCTTCGCTTCCAAACTTTGGCTTTCGACTCAGCCGTCCCCAAAGCCTTTACTCCCTGAATGCCACGCCCCAAGATTAAACATATGGTATCTCTTTGCAAGGGCTTGATTAATTTCGTACATATTGAGCTGTTCCTTTACAGATACTGGTCATAGGATCATGCGAAATACTTAGTAGTATTATATTTACGAATGTTAGCGTTGCGTTTCTGCCTTACATCATTGCTAGCAATAACCATGGTGCAGTCGCAGTATACCCATTAAGTAAGTATTTGTCGTTGCGTATAAGCGGTACTTATATATCTAAAATTTTAAGAACTGCATTCTCTTCATCAGGCTAAAAAATAGAATGAGAAGTCGGATTTGCACGACGATTGCATATAATGCTAGTTGTTCACATGCAAACGGGCGACATACAAAACGCTAACTGAAAAAAGAAACAACAGTTTAAATGCTGGAATGTGACATAATACGTTACAGGCTACAGCAAAATCACAGGTGGTGGAAAAGTGTCATTGTCTCCAAGGCAGCTTAGAATTTGCAGTGATATATTTATAGTAACCAATATCAGTACTATTGCGAACGATGGCCACAGCATCGGTGGTCTTGAGTAATTTAGCGTTTACATTGCCTTCGAGGACCTTAAGCGCTACGTTCGAGACAATTTTCGCGACTGACTTTTCGTAGAAGTATCGACATCTCCTCCAATCCCCTTATGCAGAAACCGACCTGTCCTGCCTAAGTAACTGCTTCCGCAGCTTCAGAATAGTTAATAGATGCAATGCGCTATACAGCGGATCGGTTGGGTAAGCTTGGCCGGAGGTGTTGTAGTCGAAAGAGGGCACATTTTGCAGGTACTGAATATCCGTCGACTTGCTGTGCCTACCCGCCGCTCGATTTGCTTCGCCACGACAAGTCCTTGAAAGGAAAACTAGAGATCTTCAGGCATTTTTATCACGGTAGGTGTTTTTATATTTTATATTTTACCGAGCGGCAATGAAACATAATAAAAGCTGAGGGGTAGATATTGGAACACAGTGACTGTGTAATACATTACAACTCATGCACAAAACATTTCAAGCTACTTGGATTTTAGTAGCCAGTTGAGTTTGGTACATATTCTCGTAACGGTCCTTTAGCATATCTAAGCACTATTTTTTAGGGTTGAGTAATTATGTTACGGTTAATAAAGTCCGCTATTATTATTCTTATAACCCTATAAACATTCATCAAAGCACATGCGATACGGACAATTATTTTGAATACACGTAGCACAGTCAAGTGAAAACGCATCTGTTTACTTAATTTTGAATCTTTGTGAGCCTATTTTCTTATTGTCAATGTCTGATATTTGAAAGTCAAATAAAAGTCACATATATATGTTGCGTGCGTGGAACTGTTTTCTCAATACCCAAATTTTGCCAAATTATTTCCATTTGTTAGACCCAGCTGTGGCCCGTTGCGATGGATCAATGTTCACCTGCCAAGGAGGATTCAGACGGATTCCGTTGGCTTATGTCTGTGACAAGGATCAAGACTGCCCTTATGGGGAAGATGAAAGAAACTGCGGTAACTAAACAATACAACTGCCAATCAATTTATATTGCAAATAAGCTAAACTTCTTTCAAAGCAGTAATAGAATCACGTTTCAGCGGGTAAAATAAATCTGCACAACCTCTACTGAGCCAGAGGTCAGAGTAATTTGAAGACTTTGAATAGACAAGCAGTAGACAGAAGTTACAACCTTCAATACTGACGATGATTCAGATGTAATATGCTACCTAAAATCCAAAGAGTGGTGTGTTGTCAAATGCAACGTAATGTGCTACTTATAGTTATGTGGGAACTTTCGTGAAATTTTAGAGTCATACAATGATTTTTGCTACAACAAACACAGTAAAAAGATGTAGTGTTCAACTGACATCAAAGCGAAACTATATGAAAATAAAATAATCAAGCTATGCCAAGCTAATTGAATTATATAATCTTCCAAATGATGAGGTGTCTTGCAGGAAACGTTTCTATAACACTGTGTTATTGTAATATTCCTCCAGTCCGGCGTTTCAAGCTCTTCCGGGATCAAACAGTATGACAGGAAGCAGTAGACCGTTAAATCTGCAACACAAAATAAATACCTCGTAGATGGCTTGAGGTTCAACAGCTTAGTAAGAGGCCAATGTAAGAAAAGCAGCTAAAGCAACACAAAAGAAAGCAGGGAAAATGCCGGAGAGGAATAAGAGGGTAAGGTTAACAGGAAAAAAACGATCCACCCCTTACTTGTTAACGTTTTACCTTAACGCCCGCGGACCCGTCACATTGTTACCAAAGAAAGCATTGCTTAAACCTTCGCATGGCATTTCACCAAATTTTGTAGCGTATAAATAAAATCACATATATTTATTAGAGCACAGTAATTGCTTTCCTTCCATTTGTGCCGAATATATTTTAGCTGCACCCACAATCCAAACAAGTGGGGAGTACCGCTATCCAGTTCGATCAGGAGGGCAGGTTATATTAACCTGTCGCGTGACGGGTCATCCATTACCAAGGGTTATTTGGCGTTTTAATTGGGGATGTTTGCCGGAAGAAGGTGGTCGATTTCGTATCACCAGCACAGCACAGAATTGTGATTCCCCCGTGCCAAGTGTTTTGAGCACCTTAACGATTTCAAATGTTCGACCTGGAGATGATGGCATATACAATTGTGAGGGATTGGCTGGAGGTACAAGAGCAATGTCCAACGACTACTTCGTAATGATTTTGGATTAAACACAAAGGTCAGTTTACTCTGTCAAGAGTTATGTGCAATCTGCAATTTACCAATAATAGAACGCGCAACAGCTATAAAACAGACCGGAAAAATCAGAGATTTACATGTACTTTAATCCATTGCGCAAAAATGGCTGACAGATGGTTGCATTGTCTCCACAGCACACTTTGTTAAAAGTAACAATGTTCGAGATATGCTACATTGTTATCCACTTTAAGCAAACAATAAGTTAGTTTAATCATGTGGTTTGGCATGTGGACATGTTACCTCGACAGGTTGACAGCACTTATGGTTGTCACGTAGATTAAACCTGTTGTGTTGCTGGCCATTGATAGTGGGTATAAACTTATAGCCACCACTGGACCCGTAAGTCTTCCCGGATTTTGACCAAAGGTTGAGAATTTTAAATTGCTTAATACACTGAAAGAAGAGTAGCATAACCGGAAATAGTGAAAGCACGGTATAAAATATTGCACTGTTTCGGAGATTTTAAGCTCTGTTGTTGGAATTGACCGGTGTAAAATTTTGCGTGGGAACACAAAAAGCAAATATAAATTAATTGCTTTGATAAAACTAGTTTCGTTTGATTGTCATGGCACTTCCGATGGAACCACGTATACTCCTTGAAATTTTTATTGTACATATATAAGCTTTTGTTTGACAAAGTTTGCAATCAATCCGGATACGGAAGTACCGGTGATGTACCTATTGCTTTTGCTTAAAACATAATTGGTTAGCAAATCTGAAGGCTGAACACTACTATGAATAATAATGTTGCACATGTAACTGTGCTACCTATAAGAGAAATGATTATGTGCTTGCATGATATTTGTTAGTCCAATTCAGTATGCACTGCGTTTGCGACACTGACTTCGTCGGACCTTGAGCAAGTGAACGGAGTCGTGCAAGTCCGTCATATTGTCGTTCCAGTTATGTTGTGTGCGTCTTCATGCTACTGCTACACCAGTGCATGCGAGATAAAGTGCGTCTACCTTCGCCTATGTATGTCACTTGATTTGTTGTGCCGAATGCTTTGACTAGAGGTCAGATACCGTTTTGACTCGGCATCGATCACAGGGTCTATAGCGAGTGATGTGTGATTGCGCTTTGCTAAGTTGGTTAGGTAAAAATTACCGTTCAACTGATGTCACAATTTGGAGAAAGTGTCAACCGGAACTAACCGGGTTGCCTAACCATAAACGTTCCTTTGAATATACACTTAACTGAGGGGCGTTAGCAAAAGTATCCTATGCACAGTAATCATTTTTCAGCTCTCCTCTGCATTCTACGATAAGGTAATAACCATGGGACCGTGACGGAAATTATTGGGGAAGTTCCGTTGATAGAAACCACCGTTATTGGCCTGTTATTTTGTTATGTGGATTACCTATTTTGAAGATATCACCTTTATTGTGGCGAAGCTCGATGTTATGGGGTAAGTCGCTAGGTTGCGGATCGCCGAATGTCTTCTTTGTGCAGTTACCTGTAAATTCGTCTAGTCTGCTTTGCAGGCGGGATGAATAAGTAGTCGCAAACCATCTGCAACAGCGTCTCAAAGTCTTAAGAGTTCTGGTCTAGTCAACTAGTTCTATAGTAAATAACGAAAATCCTTGTACAGCGCTGTGTCAAAGACAATGTGGATGGCTATAGGCTCACTGAGCACACACTTATGTTACTGGAGGACGGAAGAACAAACTTGCTGGCCACCGAATTCTCTCTGGACAGAAACCGAACAAAAGAAGGCAATTGAGCCAAAAGGCTGCCAACGGTATTCGTATTCGAATTGTTGTCTTGCGGGTCAGGTCTTTAAGACCTAAGGCTAGGGGTAGGGACATTAAAGTTAACCCTCTTCCTCGGCCTGGGCAAGCGGGAAGCTCACTCCCCACCCAGCACACGGATCTTAACATTCCTTCCACTGACTCTCTCCACTTCCTAGTTGTTCTTGGTAACTACGCGTTGTGGCCCTAGGCGAAATAGTTAATGGGCAAGTGTTATATATATATATATATGTATATATATATATATATTGTAACATTGTCCATCATGTTCATCAATGCTAATTGTTCATAAATGGTCTGCCAGTTGAAATGGGACATTTTATAGGTGGTATGACGAAAACAAAATTGCAGTAAACGTATTCGTGAATGTACAATGTTAGAATGCAATCTACGTGATCAAAAATACGATAGTTAAGTGCCTTCAAAATATGTGGTTAAGAAGCTAGTAAAACTAGTACGCCGCCTCTCAGAATTTGTCGTCAGGTATTATGTTTAAAGAATGTTTTTTAGACTTTCCTTTCCTGCAAACGAATTTCACCTCCTGCTATATCTGCTGTTTAATGCGCAAACATGTAACATGTCTCAAAACTTCGTTCACCAACATTGCCTTCACATGCTAGTTTGTTAACTGAACTGAACTACATTCGTTCCTTAACTTGAACCACATACCGATGTTCCACCTCTGTTGTATCAAAATATGGTGTGAAAATTAATAAAAACCATATATGTACCCATTTCTTTTCTTTTCAGTTTACTGCCACTAACTTTTCTTCAATATCCAGCAATGATGCGCACCAATATGCCTACATTCGCAAAAAAGAATCAGCAGTTTCCGAGCAGACAAGTGCTATCGCTTACCGCTTCCTATCCACAAAACGTAACCATTTCTAGAATCTTTCAATTATATCACAAAATGTACGCTACTATTCAGGATAATTTCTGAAAGATAAATGAGTTAGTAACTTATTCTATTAAATGTTTAGCACAAAAGTTTTTTACTTTATCAAGGGGCTACCTGTTTAGCCTTCATCGTTTTTTCAAGGTTATCTCACTAAACCGATTCTTTGGCCCAAAAATTTGTTTAAAAATATCTGCCACTCTTTGCCGCCAGATTTCGTTCCGATTTGCTTTTCGATTATTTATTTTGCACCAAAGTCAAATGAATGTATTTTAGTAGCCCGCTAATGAAGTTTTGAAACGGGCGAACAATATCGGCTTAGTTAAGCTTATTTTACTTTTCAATCTTTCCGCCTGCTATTTGTCTCTGCTCTTGTCTGACTGACGCAATATGCTTAGATACAAAATGAAATTTTTTTTATTTAACTACGTGTTATCATTTATCAAAGCTAAAATCAACTTTGTCAATTGATAAAATTTCGTCAGAAACGCTTAAAATAATCAATGTTTAAAACAATCTTTATCTTTTTATTAAAATATGCCTCGGCTGCTCCACGAACAGAGCACATTTAATCGCAGCGTCAAGCGGCCTGGAACGCGAATCGGCTCACTTTCGTGAGTTAATGAACAACTGCTATATAACTTTGTTGATCATTTCGTAACATGAAATGTATGAAGGACTAGATTTGCTCTTAGCTGATATTAGGTTGTCTGGCTTCTCATTTTCTGCTTATCATTCGCAATAAAGGTGGCTGGTTTGTATACTCATCCCAAATACAAGGGTGCTTTGATCAGCTACCTCACATTTTAGCAGCAGACGCGAAGAAAGAGAAAGATAGTAAGGCATCGAATACGCTCCGTACCGGAAGTACAGTGATAGCCATGAAGTATGTGGAACCATGCGTACAGGGGCATAATTTGTAATTAGGAATTGTAAAATCTCAGTACTGGGTATTTGGACAGAAGTACATCAAAAAGCAGGTATGTCGTAGATAATAAGTATGTTTTCTCCAAACCACTAAATATTTAGGCACGTTAAACAACACTGGTAAAACTTCCATATCGTGTCTTTCTTTCAGAAATATGCTAAGATATATGACAGTGGTTTTCGCATTGAAACCAAAGTGGTGACGTGAAAGGTGTCGCGTAAATTCCCACTCAGATCTCTATAAGAAACAATATAAACTCTTTTGATATATTTATCTCAAATTTTTAATTAAGAAGCTAAAGAATTGAAGGCTGGTAGCTCAGGTTGTTCAGACGGCGGTTGAACTGTTCGCTGAGCTTGGCAATTTGGTTGCAAACGTTTCGTCACCAATCGAGGTGACATCGTCAGTGCGTAGTTGAGTGGCGTGCAGTAGCGTAGAATAGCGTAGAGGACCCTCGGTAAGAGTGCGCTGAGCGTGATGTGCATGCGTTTTTATACCGTGGTGGTTGCCCGTGGAGGCAACCACTTGGTGGAATGCCACCAAGACATTTTTCTCCAATCGATTAGAGTGATTCTAAAATGTTATTAGATTCTTTTTCTCGATAACAGTGTACCAAACCAACTCAGTAATGCATCGATTATTTCAATTTATCCCATTCGGTTTGCACAATTGTGCTTATGATGTGCCGCGGCTGTGTTTGCAACTTGGGGCCTTACACCGAGCAGACCGACAGGCATTTTTCATTCAGTAATAAATACATGGATAAAATCTTGAATAATGTGTATATTAGGTCTCATATTTTGCGAGTAAACGGTCATTACAACTAAATCACATAAGGTTGTTGCTGCTAGGGGTTGCTAGACAAACATCAGGAAAACAACAAAAGGAAATTTTTTTAACTAAAGTTTACTGTTAAATTATTACCCTTATAATTAGTTGGCGCAATGTTTGTAACGTACAGCTTTCAGCTGAACAATCAGAAGACGCACAAATGAATCGCATAGCTAAAATACTGGATGTATATGCTGTTACGAAATGCCCAGGACATCCGTGTTAGTTCATAGAATATGCATTACTTATACAGCGATATTGACTGCTATCATGTCAATCTTATGTGGATAGAAGAGAAACCTTTCCCAAACTATCTGAACTGGAAGAGGAATGTAGATATTCCGCAGCATTACGAATCGCATTCCAAAATAAACATTGCATTATAAGGTATCAGTGAAAAACTCCAGCTATATGTTTAGTTCGATGAAGTCGTGCACAAATAATAGTTCATAATGGATCCCGATTTGTTGGAACGATGAAATCGAACGATGAACCTCACTGCTGAAAATGCCCATTTGTAGGCAGCTTGTCATATTTTTGGAATATTAAACAGTAATTAATAAAGTATCTGCTGCTGGGGTGGTGATTTTCGCTGTATAAATTTTAAAACTCTGTTTCTTATGTTGACATTTTATGAACAACTACACTGCAATCCTCGTCAGCGATTTAGCTACGAGCAAGCGCAGTTTGGTTAAGGTAGACTTTGATAATGCCCCCATATTTCTCACAGCTTTAGGTCTAAAAATTATACAATCTGCGAGAAAATGTACTTAAGTCGTTTGTAATTGTAGGTTCCTAAATGTGAATGTCCTTAGTTGGCATCAATTTCCATCCTTCTTGTCTTTTATTATTATCGAATGAACACAATTTAAAAGGACACTGTCTGGTTAAATAAGAGCTATCTGAATTACATCACATGCAGTTTGCATATAACATAAGAGCTAAAAGCTTTACCCTACATAACTGATTAACATTGGTATACGTAACCGAATGAATAATAAGAAGTAAAACAAATGTGACTTGATAAGGGGTAGAATGTGACGGAAACTGAACGTATACCGTTAAAACAATTTAAAGTAAAGTACACAAGATTAGCACAGTGCAAATAACCCTATGAAGACTAAGCTATAGGTATTGATACCAATCACGCATACTTTGGTTTCCAAATGATGCGCGCATCCGGAATTAAGTAGAAAACCACAGAGAGAAAATAGAAAATATACTGAGCTACTTGCAAACAGCCAGTAGTACAAAAACAAACACATAGAATTCAATGCTGCGTTTATTCCAAGGATATGCTATCGACATTAAAAAGAAGCTTTAATATGTGGTGTCAATAGGATTTAGAACGGAATCAAAGTCATTTCTAATCGAGTCTTGTTTCAGTATAAGGATGTTCGGCTAAGTCCATAAGAGAATCAATTTGAATCTAATTTTGCGCACATGCAAGAATGCGTGTCGTTCGTCCTGACAACTAGCAAACCAGATAGTAGCATTTAAAAAGAGTGACCAATACTCAGACTCACATTCTGAACCGGGTAAGGTAGCCTGTTAGGGGCATGTAGCAAACATAAAATATCACTTTTGGAATTACGTTCACTAAACACCACTCGATCCATAATCAGGTGAAGAAATAAAATGTAGGGCGAAAAGTGGATAAAAGCGTCTTGGTTCCCATTGCAGTTGCTAAGACGTATAAGTGGTTAACCCAACCACTCTCACACATGCTTTGTATTGTTGCCAACAAATCAAATATGGTGTTTTGCCAGGGGCGACACATAAAAACAGAAAAAGGAATTGTGCAACAATCAGAGCGGTTATACTATTCTGCCAGTTTCAAGGAATGTTCTCAGTGACGTTGTATTGCTAAACTGCAGTAAATAACGACGCACATGATTTGGATATTTCAGCACAATGTAAGCATTAGGAGCTTGTCAGCTATTTAGCAATACGCGTGTTTCAGCATGTTTTCAAATGGCAAATTACGCGTTCCAATGACGTAGCTGGAAACCTGACTTTGGGTCTGCTCGGATCAGTGTTGTCGTGCAATAGCTTCTGTTGTCTTGCTTGAACTTTTTTGTTCTACGTGGTGGTTCCGAGCTTGTAATGCCATTTCCGTTTTCTCAGAACAACCCGTCATCCCGAACCAGTGCCGTAGGTCACGTTCGACGATAGAGAACTGTAGGGTCTGCGTTTCGAACCCACAGATGGAGAAGCTGTGATTTCATTTGCAGCGTATCTTACACGCGGGTAGTCACCATACATACGAGAATTGAATCCCTCAGATGCACAGCTGTCAAACGGATTATGGACTTTTTGGGAAATAAACGTCGTTATCAGCAATAAATCGCAGTATGTCACGAAAGTGAAACTGATCTCATAAGCGTAGGCAAGTCTCAGACTGATACGACACAGTACAACAGTGACATGGCGGAGAAACAAAGTCCATCGGACGCGACTGCACTGAACTTTATTTTGAAACGATAGTTTGCCTACCTTCATGGCCTGTTGAGCTTCGCTCGGTGGCACATTCTAGGTCCCATCAGGACTGAACATACCAAACATACTCATAATTAGCGATCGGATAATCAGTCTCACAATGCTCGCAGTGGCTTGGTAGATGTTCATGGTCCTCCGGTTCTTAGGACAGCTACGAAAGTCTACAGGTTTTTAAATATTTCACAGCTCGATTGGCCTGGAGCAGGAGTGCCACGCATTGCCTCTGATCGTGGGGGTGCACAGCGCAGTTCTTTATGCTTTGCTACCTAGCGCTTCAATGCACGCAACTTCTGGTAAAATAGTTGCAAACCCGCCAATTTCCACATGCGGTTGCCTGTGGTCGTACATGAATTGCCCTACATACTCGAAGGCTGTATATGGCAGGTATTAAGCCGATCACAATGAGACACTGCAATCACGCTTTCCAGTTGGACTAGCTCCTCACTACATTTTGGGCCAAGCTTTTTATGTATTAGCATTCGAGATACGACAGCCACGTCGGCGAAGTACACACGCAGTAAAATAACTACCGAGATTACGGTTGCCGATTGTACGTCCTAGTGCTGCCCTAAGTAAATAGCTGTATTGCACAAGACAACCTTACGTGGCTGTTAAGCAAACAGTTTGGCAAAAGATAGAAACAATTTAGCAGTGACATGATGCATATTTACAGACCCATTAAGTGTAGTGCACGCAAGGACTTCGCAATAACATGTTCCACCATTTATTTACAAT